GGCCTTTTGATGAATAAGTACATTTTATATTTTATTAGGCAAACGAGAAGAAAGAATATGTCAGAAAGTGATCATTAAATCAATCATAAGGAAACAGGACTGTGTGAGCCAAAGCCCTGTAAGTGGAAAAATATCATTTGTTACATAAAGGGTATACATCTTTCCAGAAGTATGTGTGTCACAGAACTGATAAGTTGTAAGCCAACAAAATGCTAACACTTATAATATTTAACTTTGAGATTATTCCTACATTCTAATATTAAAATATTCTGCATGTGAAGGATTATGAATTATTCTTAGCACAATCTACAGTTTTGAATGATAATTGCAATTCAGAGAGATGGAAATTAAATCTAAATATATTTGACTATATATTATCTTAACTATAAAATTATACTCAACAAAAAGAGCCCTACTTTTAATTTTCCTCTTTATTATGACCTATCCAATTCTATAGTCTACTTGAGTCATGACATAACACAGGGGACAATAGAATCATTAGGTTGTGATTAACATGTTCCATATGTATGTCTAGCTTTGTGCGCACATTTCATGCCTTGAGTTATGTCAGCACTGCTATGTTGGGCATTGCCATAAAACATCCCTTTAACTTATGTGAGTTGTTTCAACTTAGTATTTACCACAATTTTCTAACATGCAGAAGATTGAGTATTGAAATGATGAGGAAGAAAGCCTTGCTTTCATCTGACTTCTTAGTGTAATTGAATAATAACCAGGGTTTTAAAAATTTTAAGACATTTTTTTCTCATTGTCTTTCCTTATAGATAAATGTTGCATCTTGTGATGGAAAATGCCCTTCAGCTACCATATATAACATCAATATTGAAAGTCACCTAAGATTCTGCAAGTGCTGTCGTGAAAATGGAGTGAGAAACTTGACTGTGCCTCTGTATTGCTCAGGAAACGGCACTGAAATTATGTACACTCTGCAGGAACCTGTGGATTGCACATGCCAGTGGAGTTAAACTCTTGGATTTCAAAAACTCTATACAGTATCATATTGTCAAATAGAGTTAACTTCTATCACTGTTGCTTAGGCACTTGGCAGATTTATACTGTTTAACAATATTTTTCAGAATTTTGTTAAGCAGTATACTGTTTGGCAGTTTAACAGTTGGTACAAAATATATACAGCTCCAATAGCAAAATTAGATTTATTGCTTTATTCTTTTATAGAGAATCAAATGGTCGCAAGTTGT